CTAATAACCATGGGTTGCCTTCCATGAAGAGCTTAGTTTAACTTCGCTAGGTCGATAAAGGATTTCCTCCCTGATCGAATTTCCATTTAAGTAAAAACCGATCAATCACCAAATCTTTTGCAGATCCTAGGATTCCTATTAAATCCATGGATTTTAGTTTCTCTTTCAATTTCTCAAATTGATTTCAATTATTGATCCTCAATTTTCTTTCTAGATCCAATATTCTTCCACTGCTATTATCAATTTGCATATTAGTATTGTTCTTAAAATTTATAAGAAATGGATCTCTATATGATAATCATAAATTTCTAGTTAGATTCTCCTTAGAAGATTCAGATTCTATATCAAATTCCACTGGAATATTCTTCTATCTCAATTTATCTTTTAATTCTTCCTATTGGTACTTCTTCTTGTTGGTATTAAGTAAGTGGTGGAGGTGTTCTTTTTATATTTATCTTAGTAGAGGAATTATGTTTTTCTAATTCTTTAGAAATTTCTTCTATTTTTCTTTCAATCTCCTTATCCTCATTTCTCAACTCAAAGTTCTTTAGTAACATATCCTCCAATTCTCTTCTAATTTTTAGTTCGATATTTTTATTTTGCTCATCATTTGTCTCTTTAGGGTTTATCTCAAGGCCACTAGGTAAAATATCTAGAGGATTAATATTGAATGAGTCAACAATCAACACCAGTTGGCTTTCATATTCCTTATAGCAGCCCCATGACTTTTCAACTGATTTTCATTTGATAAATAACCTCTTATATAGACATATGCTTCTCCTTATATGGTATGTTAGAGTTAAATTCAAAAGGAAAAGAAGGTCCAAAGTTATAATTATCCTGATTATTCCAGTTACCTAAAGGATCATCTTGATTATAATCTCATGAGTGGTTTCCTCATTCATAATTGTTATTCTAGTTAAAGTTAGAAGGATTCTCTTAGTTCTAGGTTGTTGTAATTGAAATAAGGGTTATTTGAGTGATCGTCTATCTCATCAATATTTTCAAAAGAGTTAATGTTAGCCATCTGTATAAATGAATTTTTCTTAATGACCAGGAGTTCATGAGGTTGAGACATTGCATAATGATCTAATTTTTTTGAAAAATCTGCAATCTAAGAAGTTAAAATATTTAGTGTATCATCTTCATAATAATTCATCATTTCTACAACAACTTTTGAAGATCTTATTTTAAGTTCAACAAAAATTCTCCTAAAGTTCTCACTGTATCCTCCTCGGCAAGGACTCCAAAAATTTGATGCGCTCTTGGTGTTTGGTGTTTTTCTGCATGTTTTATATAAATATAAATTCCCAGTGACAACATCAAAAACTTGATGTGCTTTGTATTTACCTGCACACACTAGATTTTCTACGCAAGTATACATGTCGTTCAAGTAAAATAGGACTCTAGTAGATTCCCGTTTATCGATCCCACAGCAAGTGAGGTAAGAGGTCTTTAATCAATGTTCTAGTCTACTGATATCAGGTCTTAGTTTGGAAGATCGATTTAAGTGATTTTTCAAATAAGTACTTCGAAATGTAAATCTTTAGTTTAACAAAACCAACAACTACTCCTAAATGTAAATATTAAATGTAAAGATAACAACTATTTCTCAATGCAAATATTAAGTCTAAAGATAACCATATCTGGGTGAATTTGTTTGGTGAACTTTGAGATGTTAAAATACTATTATTGTGTAGTGAATTAGATGATGTGAATGAATGAGATACATAGAATTCAATATAGCCAACGATAATAGGAGCAAAATCTCTTCTTTACCATCTTTTAAGCGCATAAAAAACATTGGATAACTTAAAGTCGATTTCTTAACATCCTGATTCCCCCGTCATAACTAATTGGCCTTTCACCCTAGCGTCCCATAGCCTATGCCATAGATGTGGCCAAATTTCGGTGTTAAGGTACAAAGCCTTAAGTCATATTGATAGTTATATAGTCTATCATCATAGAAACAACCAATTTACACCCATCAACAAATATTTCCCTAATATTACATTCAACTACATTAAATATTATAATTTGTCAAATAGGAGCATACCTATTTTTTACCCTCAAAGATGGGCATAAAGAACATTGAATAATATAGAGTTAAGTGCTTAAATCCTTGGTTAGATTGAGAAGATACTAGCTCTCACTCTAGAGTTCTCACTATCTCTTTGTTTGGAGGATAACTCTACCTTAGATTCCAAACATCTGAATCAAATTGGAGGTTCTAATATTCACCTTAGAATTACCAATTTACATCCTTCAAAACTTATTTTCCTATTTATTTGCACACAACCCCATGTATTACATTCTCATCCATGAAATCAAGTGTGGTTTCACTTTGTTGAGAATTACACCGCCTTCTCTGATCTTAATACAATTAAAACAAATTTTAACACTACAAGAGGCCATTATTTTAATGTAAATGAAGTTTAAGTAAAACTCATCACATTGATAATTAGAACATATTCTAACATGGATCCCAAAAGCCTAAATATGAATTATACTCATTGCAAAAGAAAAGTAAAAAGAAAAAAAACGACATAACATACTCATGTCACTATTTACTAACAAGGAGAAAGAGTAAGAAACACTAATCACAAAGCACGAAGAAAACACAACAAAAAACTTTATCACATCAAAGCAAATCTACTGGATAAATGTTTAAAAAAATCATAGAATAATGAAGAACACAATACTTAGTTTTTTTCTCCTTGAATGAACGATGAAGATCTCTCCAACAAAGTTTCTCGTTGATTCATGCAATACTAGTACAATTTCTTACAGATTCTCTCAAAATCCCTCACTAATCTCTCCATAAAATGTAGAAATCTACATCTCCATCTCCTCTCTACACTCACGCCAAACTCTCTAAAAATCTCCCCTCTCCGAAAAGACTCCCTTTGGACTCTCCAGAAGTATTTTTAAATTGAGTTCTCAAAATCACCAAAAGTCACCTCAACCACCTGGTGCCTAGACGCCCAATTTTGGCGTGAAGGCACCAATCTCTCTGTACTCTGGCACCTAAGCGCCATGTCAACTTTGGCCTTTTAGCTTCCTTTGACTCTAAATTTTTATATTTTCATTATATTTGCTCCACTTGCTCCATTTATTGTGCATGCAACCTAAAACATCAAAAGTAGCTTTCATTAAAGTGCAATATCATTAAAAATATGCATTAAATGTGCAAATAAAAGTAATATATTTTGGGCATGTCACTTTACTGATACACATTGTCACCTTTCTACCCTAGATCCTTGTGTGATTGCTAGGATGAGTTTTATTCATGGTTGGATTTGATTAAGCTATATTTCTACATGTGCTTGCATCTATATCATGTGCACCACTTAGTTTTAAAATGTGCATTAAAATACCATTTTGCATGTGTTGTTGATCGATCTCCTACATTGACTCGATCAACTATCTTTCTATCAGCATAATTGACCAGCCTCCTTTGGCTCGATCGATCAATCGACCTTTTTTCATCGATATGATCAATCAATAGCCATTTACCCGA